CAATAATTGCGAGGGATCGAAACGACTGGCTGCGATTCGGCATCTTGAAATTGCATAACAGCGATTCCAGCGCAGCGTTCGATTAGCCTCCGAAAGGTATCTTGAAATTGTTTTAATATATACATTAGTAGAGCACATCGTAACAGATTCATGCCAATTGAGCGAAGGTCAAAGTATTTATACGAGACGAGGAAGGGTGTCACATTAATCAACAAAGCATTACCATCGATCCATTTGCTTTCATTCATTGTCAGTTGTAACTTAAGCCCCCCAAAGAAAATCGCATGTTATCAACGAAGAAAGCTAGAAATAAATTTGTGATTCACTGGCCTGAGCAATAGGTATAGCATGAAAACTCAGAACTGCTGCACCCCGTCGCTTTCCCGGTCAACATCCAACGAGAACGTTCGGGTGTCGAAGACGTGAATGCTGCACGGTCCCAGAGATACCCGCTCTCGTTCAGCTAGCATGTCATTTCATAGATGGCGAGATAGTGGAAGCGGATCTGTGGAGGGTTTTCTCCGTCCTCCATTGAAAACAGCACTCGCGCCGTCGGCAAAAAAACCGTAACACATTTTTGGCAGCACAGCGGATAACCTGGCTCGTTGGCGGAGGCGCCCAACGGAATTCGCTATGAGTACATTGGCGGCAACCCGCTCCCTCGGCTCAGCGCGGAAACTCGAATGCGACGACATGGCGATGCGCATGCATTCCACTCGAGGCGAATTAGGCGCTAAATGAGCGCTGTCTAGTGCAAATGAACGAAGTTGACTTATTATTTCTGGGACGTATTTGGGTTCTGCTTCTTCGGAGGGTCCGTGTAGTGCCTCTAGTCTTTGATGCTCTTGGATGGCGAAGACTGAGTTCCTTGCGGTTACTGAAGTAATCGCGACAGGAGAAGCTTTGTCGCACCCGCTAATCTCTTTGTTGGTTGCCGTGGTAAGTTGTACCGTCAGACGCCCGCTCCGGTATCCGTATGTGGGTTATGGTCTTTCCCGTGACGTTTTGGTTACGAAGTGGGGAGCTACGCTTCGTCAGTATAGGTCGGGAGTCAGAGGCGCGCACAGGCGGTCGCCTTTTTCTGCAGGTTCCCGTGGGTCATACATGATCCCGCTGTTTGCTCTCACCTTCACCTTCTGACTTGGTACTTACCTGAAGCATCGAACTGCGGATCGAACGTTCCAGTTTTCTAATCGCATTTGACCTCTTGATAAATCTCGCAGGTTACGATTAATTAGTCCAGATTATGAGTACAAATGATTAATTCATGACGAAGTATGCCTCCTTTTGGGATGTTTATGCGATGCGTTTTGTATGCTTCGTGTTACCCTGGCATGTTTGTAAACCTTTTTTGTCTTACTTGAGCGTAATACTTTCGCATAAAATCCAGCCTATAAACACACTCCGGGTTTGCACACACTGTAACCAGCGGATCACTACGGTTGAGCCGTTCGCTAAGTGTGTGTGCGATACAATAAGAACGCTTGTGTTTTTGTGTTTTTGGATACAATAGCAGAACTATCATTCGAGCTTTGTTTATATATATATGTTCATTAAGAATATAAAATTTTGTATTTATGTAGTGGTAACGAATTTATATATGTTTTCGTGCTTCACCGCACCAACAGCGCACAAGCCTTTGATCTGTTGGTGAGCACGTAAAACAACAAGAGCATTGAGCTGAATTAAATATTTCTATTATTTTTTAACACTAACCATTTGTAGCGCAGAGTTAATGATATACTTAAACTTCGTATGGTCTCCCTTTAACACAGGCATATATTTTGATTCACGAATTGTTAAAACTATTGTCCTGTTAATGTTTAACAGTGAAGCATTCACCCACCGGAGAAGTGTTCGCACCGAGGGTCCACTTGTAGTGCTCTGGTCTGATTTATATCATGAAAGATTCCGCTTGACAGGGGAGTTATATCGTAATCGCTCCGCCCTTCCGGCCCCCGTGGCCAGCTTCGCCTAAGAAAGTGGAGCCGACCGCAATAACAAATCGCATGCCCGAAAGGGCGGAGCGAAAACTGTACCGGCGCCCTTTGTCGCTTAGTTTCGGTTCGACGCCATGTACCAAAGTGAAATTTCTTTATCCCGTAGCACCTAGTACACATATTTTAACCAAACTTTCATGGCAGGGCTAGACCATATTGAGGTCGGGCTTCAATTCTCTAAATACGATATCTGCCCTGAAGTGAAGAATTAAAAAAGTTAGTTAAAACATTTTAGTTAATTAGCTAAGAAATTACCTCAGTTCACCTTTTAACTAGAGGCCGACATGGCCATTGACACTTCGCTCGGGGCTTAAGTTACTGTATTTCACGTTCCTTTTTTTTTTGCAAACTTCGGTGCAGCTAAAAAAAGACAAAAAAACAACAACAACAAAAAAACAACAATACCCTGCATACCTTACGTGAGACACCGGAATTGAAGTTAATGTCAAAATCCAGAATTAATGCGGAGTTACATATTTGTCTACTGTTGGTAAATATTCAGTTTTGCAACGATAGCATGGAAACGATAGTGCAAAAAGTTCTTCATTAAAATGCTGAGCAATTTTATTATCTAAAAAACTAATCCTGCCACTTTTTCTGGCTAGTACTGTATTAAAATGTGTTCGTTGTCACGAAAATTTGCTAAGAAAGGAGATAAATGCTTATGGTGAGCGGGTTAGAGTTGACCTCAACTCTAAGCATTTGGCATTATTGAGTCGAGTTAGGCACACAGCTCTGGAAGTGTTAAAAAACCACGCAGTCGTTGCCGAAAGAAATTGTAAATACCTGCTTTTATGATCTTTCGTGTAATTTAGAACTCTGGATGCAAACGTAGGTGTGAGGGTTATGTTTAGTACCGATTTACAGTTCAGTACACCTGTACCGTTTGTTTTGAATATGAAAACGGATGAAATAAAACACACTGAAATGCATCAGTGAATGGGAATCAGGAATACACGCTCCCTGGTTCCTCTTATTATACTGGAATACATCATGGATGCTTTCTACCATACTCCGCAAGATCGTAAAAAGAATTTTATTTTTCTAAATTAAAAGAAAATAATGTATCTTGTAATTCCTGCTTCGTTTTATGGAAAGATCCCCCATTGTTGTTCAAATAAAAACACATTTAACGATTTGCATACGGTAGAACGCTGTCAAAGCTGTCTTCAGTATTAATAGAACGCGTAAGTTTTCTTCTTGTGATTAACGTTACTCTACCAGCTTGAAATGTTTTTGCGCATTCGCAAAGTATAGAGGAAATTTGCTTCAAGAGGAACAAAAAACAAAGAGCTTTTTGACTTGGCCTGATCTGTTTTATTTGGGGGACGTTGTATAATTGAGTGTTTGGTTACTCATTTTCTTTCTTTGGTGTACAGTCAGTTATGAAGTTTTCCGCCTTTCTAGAGGGGTTCTGTTAACAACCTAGGCAAAAGTGTGTTTCTGTTCTAAACTCCATGCTTTTTTCCTCAAGAGCATGTTTAATGTTCTCTGCAAAATAAACCTAGATACATTTGAAACTCTGGATTATTTTTCCCTGTTCTTTCCTTTAATGAGTGCTTATGGTGTCTGAACTTTTGGAAAGTAGCTTATTTTTCAGTTTTGAATTGTTGTTTGCATCTCTCGGAGTAAACATTATCATAAGGCACACATGAACGTGTTTTCTTGTTAAAAAAATACGTTTTGATTTACGACTGCTTATAAAACTTACGCAAGGGCGTAGCTGCATTTAATTATAATCAGAATTTTTTGAATGTTGCCCCTATGACGAATTTTTAGAAGTTACTAGTTTTTCAAGCAACGTATGGTTCACATACCCGTCACCTGTTTAAGGTTACGAAGTTTTCATGGGAAGGTGTATATGTTTGGGCGACACGTTTATGTTTGGTGTTTTTTTGGATGCTGATTTACCATCTCACAAAAGAGTGCTTGGCGGTTCCCGCGCATAGGTAATTTTGAATATATTTGCTTTCTTGACGTACCTTTTATCAATTTTGCCATATAATGTTGTGCCTATATTGTTTTTTTTTTCTATCTGTGTTACTTTTTTACGGTGATACTACCTGCCAGAATCTTCCTGTGAGAATCGCAGTATTCCTAAATAATGAATATAATAAATAAAGTGGCTTGATTGTATCCAACCTGATGTCGTAGACGTAGCGGTGCTCTACTACAGCAGTGCAACATTTCGCTGGGCCTGTGTATTCACAAGTACAGTTTTTTTGTTGTCCCCTTTATTTTCCGAGTCGAAAACCTCGGCTGTTTACAGTGACACACACAGTTCTCGATGTTTTTTGTTAAAATGGTTTTATTCAGTTCAAAAACGAGGTAACAAAAAAAAAAACGATTCCTAATTTTTTTTAAATTGAACATAGCATCTTATTATTAAGTAGTCAGAAAAGCAACTATGCACTTCAGCAAATAGTACTTGTTCTTCAGCATGATATGATGGTCAGCAATTTTTTTCCTAGAAGATTTTAGGCTGAAGATATATGGTGGAAATGTGGTAGGTTAGAACACAAAGAGGGTTTATTGTGCCTAAAGGTTTTGTTGTGCACAAATATAAAGTCAAGAAAGACAAATTTGTCTTGTGGAAGTTTCGACACAAGAAATTTACGAAATAGCGATATTCGTATAAGCACTTGTGAAATTGGCTTTTATCTTGCTCGTCATGACGTTATAAGGGCAGAAAATAATTGGTTTCTAGGAATGTGAACTATCATTGTTCCACAAGAAATGGACGAAGAATGGAAGACGTAGAGAACATTCACTTCCGCAATATCCTATAGGTCAAGACACACGACGCAACACGCTATATGTCCACAAGTGTGTGGGTGGTATTTCTAGGTAACACTGCATTGATCTGAGGATCTTTTTCAACGAACTCAAAACCGGGAGCCGGGAATATAAAAGTCGGCATGCTTGTTTAACGTGTATAGATTACTTCCCTTGTATACTACGAAGTCAGTTGACCGTAGAGCGGTTAAATCCAAAACTGCGATGAGCACATCACTGTTCGTTTCTTGCTTTATTCTGGCGGGGTCCATCTTCAGTTCATATGAAGCGAGTCCAAAACGGCCACCATATAATGCAACTGAGGTAAGCCGACTTGTAGTTTCTTTCGAAAGAACGCTTTTCAGTCGATATATAGCAGTGATTTCGGTAGCGCTTTTTTATACAAGATTTCTCAACCATGTCTTCTCCGTCTATAAGAAGCGAGCTTCCTAAAACATAAGGTTGAGTGTGCTGTCAAGCAAATAAACGATAAAACTGGGAAAAAAAAAAAAACGGAGACAAGGCGACACAGAGAAAACGGACAAACACAACTCCGGGACGGAATTCTGTTTGTAAGCTTCTTGGTGAAGTCTCGATCGTCTCCGAGGTTTTTCACTATGGTGCGTGCTTCCTGATACCTCTATTCTAGAGCGCATAAAAGAGTGCTGATCAGTTGTGCATTGCGACCAGAAATTAGAATAAGCGAACTGGTTTACGAATTTTCTGAATACTTTATTGTTCTTTCAGTTTTCCCGAACGAAAGCGTGTAAGTAAAATAAAGAGTAATTAGCATTCCACGTGATATATAAATTTTTGGTTTTTGGTAAAACCAAAAACAAAAATTAACAAGATTTGTGTTTGGCTTATGTGTATGCGATATTTGCGAAAATAAACGTTTGACTGACCGAGTCACACTAGGGTTTCTTTCTTACAACTGCTATGCATATTATGACGACGAGCAAATATCTGTAGTTAAGGTAAATATTTCAGAAATTATTTAGTACCTCTTATATAATTAAAGTTTTGATTGATAGCTCCGAATGGTAACCTCCTCGGTCATTACGACGAAATATTTTATTTATTTCAAGTAATATTTTAAACCTTATCCTCAGTTGTTGATTAAATAATTATATATATGTTGCGAGGTCAGTCATAAAGTTAGCGTTATACCGGCCCGAAAGAATTAAGGGCGTCAAAACACAACATCAGTATCGTTCCCGTAGTTTGCTAGTGTATTGGAAGGTTATAAAATAGTCTCCCTCCGGTTCCCACTTTCGAACAGAGTCGAATTTATGAGTCAGGCTTGGGGGATCGGGGTGTGCAAAGAAATGAAGCTATGGGTAAATATAAGGTTACTCCCGAATGTGACGTCATGGACAAAGATGGTCACCGTTCTACCATGCACGAATGATTTATTTCTTAACAAAAATGTGGCTCTGCCGCTCTATTTATAAAAAAAGTCACCTTCACTGTGTGTGTGTGTGTCTGTGAGTGTCTGTGGGGGGGGGGGGGAGAGGTCACGCCCCCCCGCCCCCCCCCCCCCCCCCCCTAACCCCCTTATATTAGATCCCGCTTCCGATCTGACACCAGAAAGTAAACGCATGACTGGCATATGAAAGCCATTTTCAACATCTTTTTCTGTCTGATTAATGTAAACCATTTAGATTCACAGAGACGGAAACCATCACGACTGACGTAGAAAAATTACGAAAAACAATATGGTGTCGACTCAAACCGTACTCGGGATGTTCCGCATACCGGTTGGGTGTGTTGATGAAAATATGTAAATACATTTAGTGCGTTCCCAGTTTAAAAAAAAAAGAAAGAATAACATTAGTGATAAGAGCCCAAATCTGGTGATCTGGAGATATTTTGACTGACTAAAGGCAAATATATCGCGAGGTATGTAATAAACATAACCTTACATGTTTAAAAAACAGACCCCTAAAAACGATGCCTTTCCCTGTGCGTCGGTAATCTTCTCCGCCCTTTTTGTTTTCAGGCATTCCTTACGAATGGCACATACTGCCTGAAGTATCGTGATTACTCCAATGATAGATTATTTGGCAACTACTCATGCGTGGAAAGGTGGGGAGGAGGTGACCAACGCAAAGGGGATCCCCTCAAAGTCAAATACATGCTCTCAAATTACAGCGGAGACCCGTAAGTGTGCATTTGAAAGTTATAAGCCTTTAATTGCAGTGTCTGACTTACTTGACAACCAAATATTGATTACAAACGACAGCTTAACCATTGCTCAGAACGAAATCGAGATCTGAGGAAGATTCCACACTACTGCAGGTCTTTTGCAAAGACGAAACTTCGCACGTAAACCATAAATGAGTATTTAGCCTTTCTCTCTCTCTCTCTCCCCCCCCCCCCCCCCCCGCCTTCTTTCAAAGGTGGCAGCTCGAGAAAATATTTTTCTTTTGCTATCATGTGACGATATATATTCTATAATAATCTGCATGTTATTTACGTTCTTTTTTGCACGATTGTGCACCTGTAAGCCTGCCGTACGACAAAAATATTTATTCATGCTTAGATTGGGGCCCCATCAAAAACTTTCTTCAGTTTTTTTCCATAATATCAGAAGTCCTTGTTTGCAGAATTAAGCGCAGCAAGATCTAGAAGAGGCCACGTTTCGTTCCTCGTGGACTTGAGCTTTGAGTTTCTGCGAAAATACGAAAAAGAAAAATCCTATTTTTTGGCATCATTGAGCAAAGACCCAGGATAAGGTGCGTTTGCAAACCCAAAGCGAGGGAAAGATTTTGGAACGCAGCCGCATGCTTCGTCATGCCAGAGAGTTACCGGAACACGCATTAAATTCAGTGACGTCGGGAGCACGGCGGCCGATGTGCACTTCCTTAAGAGCTCCACAACGGATCCCTTCAGAAGTGCATGCCTTGTCTAAGACAGGTCGTGGTTTAAACGTAATCTAGTTCAAGATGATTGAAAAATATTGCTCAAGCAAATGTATCCAACACAGAGAGTGGGCGCCTTTAATGTTTGCTGTGCGAATAAGGCGTCGCTGGGGGAAAAACATTTGAGTGTTACTTTGAGACAAATTTTGATAAGGCATAAAATATGTTCGCTTGACATTTATAACTCATGAAAAGAAAATGACAAACAAATCCTATAAGATTACAGAGTGAAACAAATTTACTAACAATATTTAGTGAAATAGAATAAAACAAAATCACAAGTAAAAACATTTCTAGAAAATCTAAAATAAACTTATTTTTGAATTGTCACGTTTTGTCGAAAGGAACAATAATTGTTTTCACCTTTTAACATTAGAAAGAAAATATGCTGCAGGCGCTGCGCTTAGAATATCACAGAGTAGAAAATAAATACTAGGGCGATAATCATTTCTAGAATTTCTTCCTATAGTAACGTGGTGTCGTTTTTTTTCTATTCGGTATTTGTTATTTCATTTGAGAGCATCAAAAACAACTCTCTATTTTATATGTGAAATCACATAACTCCTTAGTCACTGAAACGAACTTGGGGATTGTTTTATTTCTTGCGAAACAAAGGAGTTTTCTCGGAAAGGTGTGTTTTAAGTTGTACAGGGCTTTCAACGGGTAAACAAAAACAAAGAAATAAACCATCTTCCAGGGGGAGTATGTTGCTTCCGGTTGGCCATTGTATATGCTTGTTTATGAGGCCCGGCAGTAAGCAGCACGTACTTTAATAATCTCACTGCCGATGACCGGCTGGGACATCTAAACAATGCACTTATGCTCCTTGGATGAAAAGAACGAGCGCTTGTTCCTCAAAGAAATGACAAATCTGCCGAAGGTACTCTGGGCGCGCCTTCACGACTACTTATTCGAGCCGCCAGCTTGAGCCTTATACCGTAGAAGGACTCAAAACCTACAAGGCCTTAAACGCGTTCAACTACTTCGTGAACGGCAAGACATCGGCGACAGGCATCTACTTCCCCCCCCCCCCCCTCCCCTGGCACTCAAGATACGCGCCGATCTTCACGGCAGGGATCGCCTTGTCAGGTCAGCAGACGATCTGCTGAAAGTTTTTATTACGCTTCCTTCAGCGCTACGCAAGTTTATGTAATGTTCAGTTTACCAGTGATTGCTTTGTTATTTGAAGGTTAGTTTCCCAGAGACCTCTGTATCACCTTGCATTTCGTTCGCACCTGTCTTTGTACGGGGATAGTCGACCCAGTCGCGTCGTCGTCGCGTGTTGTTGAAATGTTTTATTTACGTGCAAATTAAATGAGCCGCCGTCTCGCCTGGCTGTTGTTATGTTAAATGGTGCAGGGAGACAAGGTAATGGGACAAAAATGGGACAAAAATAAGCAAAAAAGGGAGAGAGAAAAATATAATTAAAAATATTCCGATGAGTGAACCGCACTGGATCGAATGAATCCAAGTTTTACGAAACCGCCGAAAGTCAAAATAAACGGCGGAGACAGGATTTAAAATGTTGGGCCACCCAATGTCCGGACTTGTGTATTGTGTACGTATTGTGTGGGACACCGATCAATCCCTTAATGTTTTATTAAATGTTTCTTTTAGATCTACTAAGACGGGAGAAGTTATCATAGGGTCCTATGCTAAAGAAACCAATACTTTTTTTTATTTTAATGAAGAATCAAGAAAACGTAAGTTGATTTTTCAAAAGGCTTTTCTTTTTTTGCAAACCTGTCGCTCTCACCTTGCTGGAAACCATGCGAAATGTAAAGAACTAGAAATACCAATTATCTTGCAGTTTATTTGGAGCCGCGTTAATTCTTGGATTGTAGTTTCTCAATGTGGTGCATCATTGTAAAATCTGTCAGGGTCTTCGCGACATTCTGACTCTCTCCGAACCCGTTTTGAAAAATTCTATGAATGTACTATACGTCATGTATTTTATGAAACCCTCAGCGATAACAGATTGGAAGGAAATAACGCCTTTTTTTCCCTATCTATTTATTTTCTATTTGTTTAGCAGGCGCAAAGCCTTCGTTGCAAACACGCGAATGATGAGAATATGGGACTATAAGGAAAGCGACGTAAAGAACCAAGTCGTCATTCGTGATTTCGCATCACCGGCCTTCCGCCTGCTGCACGAGTGCCACCTTTATTGGGCATCCCCGTGCTTTCCACATGCTTGAATTTGTCCTACAGTTAACTGATCAAAAGGCTTTCCATGACGCTCAGAAAGGTTATTGTTAAAATCATGTTTATTTCCCCTAGCAAGTTAATTAGTAAATTTAAGAAAAGTATGTTGCTCATCAGTATGTTCTCTCAAATCCTGACGTCCGCCACGGCTGGCAGTTTTTTTTCCAGAAAGGATTTTCTATTTTTTCTCGAACGCACTAGTTTTAGGATATTCGGAAGATCTTCGTAAATCCATCCGGTATATCCGTCCCGTTTACGTATGCGTATTTTTAAATAAACTCCAGTTATGTCTCGAATTTATTTAAAACGCTGCCTAGCGATAATTTATGCTCCTACCTAAAAGATGTGTTGATCAAATACGAGGGTATAAAAAGATGATTTCATAAGGATATGTCGACTAGCTTTATTATGTGTATTTTAAACCGGGGTTTGACTCAGAGCACGACTATACTTTGCGCCAAGATTAGTAGCTGACTACAGGAAGATTTGTTCCGTACATGGTTTATTTTTGGGCATTATAAACGTAAGATTTTTAGGATACATCAGGTGTGTTTAGTAAGTCTTCAGACAACAATGAATGGAGCCCTCTTGTTGAACTAAGGTCCAAAGAAAAATTTAATAAAAAACAAAGTTGCAATCCAAAACTGTAGACATGTTTGGAGTTTTACAAATATATTAAACGAAGTTGCTGAACTTTTGTTATTCCTGAAAACTTTTCCCATTGCATCTTGTGACTGTCATCTTGTTTGCTACCAGCGTCCTGTAAGTAAATATAATTAGCCCTCATATAACTAAAATAAAATTTAAACGGCTCTTGATTACGAAGTTTCCTAACCAGTTCGTGTGTAGAGTTCATCCTCTTGCCATAAATACTTGTGAACAAATTTTGAACAGAAGTCATATGTGTACTCTGTTTTGCGTCCAACAGAACAAAAACGGAAACTCATTTACATGAACGTATCAGAGCAGTGTCAGGTTACAAAAACCTATAATACAGCAAACGGACCAGGTGAGTTTTACTGATAAAAAGTCGAGGTACCGCTAACCTCCGTGAGAGGAGTAGTAGCATCGTGAGGCATACCAATAAATGCTGATGCAAGTTCACGATGTAGCAACAGCCATCTCATCTTAGTAATTCTATGCTCCTTGCACCCTAAAGGTTGGCGCCAACTAGTCATGAAAATAATCTGTCGAAGATTGGTTCGCCTTTCTGACAAACGTCGTGATATATCATCGAGCGTATTGCTCGACGATTTATCCAAGTGAATGGCCGAGTAAAAAGAAATAATGATGTTTGTGGCAGGTGAAGCCAGAGGAGTATAAAAAGAAGGGCTTTGAGCAGAGATTGCCGTTTTGTTCTTACCGGGACGTGTTAGTAGCTGGGCGATGTCATGGTAACACTTTGAGACAAGGAAATGAAATCGAGACCTACGTCGCTTATTAATGTTCTCTTCCTTCTGTCAGCTCACTAAAGAAGTTAACTTATCAGCTGGCCTGGGTTTTAACCAATATCGTGGTTTGGTCTAAACTACTGTTTAGAAACCTGACACTAAGCACCCAGACTGTGCTGTTAATAAGTATACAGTGTGGGTTTTGGTAAACGTTTCCCAGTTGCGTAGCCAGGAAGGTGAATAGGGGGGGGGGGGGGGGGCTGAAGCCCTATAAGCTCCAACCCTGGCAATGCTACTGCCTGCACCGTTCATTGAACTAGCAGTCCAGAAGCCGTGATCACGCCCACTGAAGTGTGATCGACAATTTGGAAGATACTTCTTAATTGCTGGTTCGTACATTTGTAACAGTTGCGTTCACAACAACCAAAAGGGTAGAAACGACAAGAACACCGTAAGAACCGTGACTTATGATGGGTTCGCCAAACTATACCTCTTGCACCGCTGGCCAGGTTGCGTACGGAGAACACTTGTCTCGGTGACGTTTTGTTGCTGTCGTTTCAGTTTCTGAGAACGCAAGCGACACAAATGTGTGAGCCAGCCTCATGTGGTCCAGTCTATAAGGTGAAAGGGTGTAAAGGTGGAGCAGTGCGCTCGCTGTTAGTAAAGCCCCCTCATGTCGCAAAAGTAGCTCAAGGTGCGTCGATGCAAGAGGCACGTGCATCGTGGAGCCCTTGGTAAGATAATGGCGGCACAGCAAAGCACTAAGCTAGATTTGAAGACATGTTCTTCCCAGAAGTGGCGCGCGGCACGTGTCTTGAGCATATCCTCAACAATGAATGGCGCCACCTTTCCCAAGATAGAGGGGCTTTAGTTTTTAGACACTGCCAGAGTGTCAGGGACGTGCTCGTGGCAATAGGAACGCAATCTACCGGTGTTCTCGAGCGCTATTCGGGCGAAGAAAAAAGTTGGTATAATTAAAGCAACGAGCAGACTTCATTAAATCTTTTCAGAAAGGTGTCTTTAGGTGGTGCATACTTAAATTTAATAAGTGAGGGTATAAAAAACAAATCTAAAAATATTTGTTTTTTTTTGTTTTATGCACGGGGAGGTAAACGGCAAAAGCATTGTGTTTGACGCTGGCACTCACAGATGGCGTAACATAGAGCAAAAACCTGAGAGCTTCTTTAAGATCAATTCTCGAAAGTAGATCCAGCAGACCCGAACGTCTGTGGCGCCATCTGTGAACAACAACGTCAACCAGAAATTTTTTTAGGTTTTCCTTACTCTCCATAACTCTACTTTCCTTACTCTACATACCCTACGGGTTGTTTTAGGCTGAAACGTTTTCACCCAGATACTTACACACACAAAATTTGAGTGTGATAAATGCACCGCCTTTGTGAACATTTTAAACGCAGTGCTATTATTGGTTTATGAATACGAATTTAGTTTACGACCGAATATTGCTCGTAATGTCAGCATGTGATCTGAAGTGGCCGTATATTCGTTATCAATTTGCAAGAAAAGAAGAAAAAAAAAACTATTGTAGCACATCAACACAACATAGCACGGTTCTTGTAAAAAAATAAAGAAGATATATACTTGGTTTTATTTAAAGTCGCACGACAGCGATTCTACTCTGTGAAGGAGTCTGTCAACCGTCACGGCGATCGTCGTCTTTCTGGGTTTCTGCTATCACCGCTTAAACCAGTCCCGATCAGTGAATGCGCCGTAACCCTCCCCTATGGCGTACCTTGTCCAGCAAGAGAAGTGTGTTTGTGAGCTGTAAGACCGGGATGTGTGGTTTCCTTGTTGCCTTCCCAGTCTCGAACACCTACACGTTGTATACTGCCTCTAATTATTGTACACTTCCCTAGACATCGGTTATATCTCACATTTTGGAAACTTACACGTAAAATGACTGCTCCGTATAACTGTTTACATCGATGATTCTCTCTCTCTCTGCTCTTTCAGGCTGTACGCTGTGGATGGGTTACTATACAGTACATAAGGATCCTCCAAGTCGCTGCAAAAAAGTCTACGAGAAGTGCGGGGGTCAAACGAAGCTTGAGTACCGCAATGACTGCAAACGCGTTTTCAGTTGGGAACTACCCGGGTCATCAAAATAAATTCAAGATTGCTGTCAGGGGATTGAGGATATGCTCAATCGAATTAGGTAATAAACAAAAAATTTAAGAAATAAGTCTACTAGCATCAGCTTTACCTGTAATTGAATATAGTGTGGTTGTACTTTAAGCGGATGGCCGAATTTTGCGTTCTAAATGCCTGTATTTCGGCGAGCGCTTCAAAATCAGCCATCGAAGAGCGCGATGCATCTGGGGAGATCCGGCAGACCCGGCGCGGCCTTGGTGTCATCATGGCATGAAGAGCCAAGCGTACGTAGTTACAAGCGTTGCCACTTGGAGGTGTCAGCGATTTACAATTGCGCTTCGTCGAAGTACCCGAGGGCTGTAGCATATCGCGAAGCCGGCAGAGCGGCGGTGCTGCCTCGAGTGTCCGATGACCGACCAACGCGACGAGAGTGGTGGGAATTATGATGCCGTTAATGAGGACGAAGGCGCCGCTACATCACCAGTGGCCGCATTAGTGCGTGTTTGGTAAAATAAATTTAACCTAAACTTAGTGAACAGATATGTTCACAAAGTATATATGTTCACGCATTGCATCAGACATTCAAAAACTGATCATTGCAGTCATGTTTGCAACAGAATTCTTGCCAATTAACTCGTTGAATACAATCCTTGCATGTAACATCCCGGTAGCGAAGGACAGGGGGCCACACCATGCTCGTGGTTGGGCTCACACCTTGCGGATGTACTTACCAAGGCGTAGGATGCCGCTAACTGCCTGGAGAAGCGCTGACATGCATCATATTTTCAACAAAGGTACTTACCTACTTTTCTACAAGTGAAATTGTGACAAAAACATGTCGAGGTTTATCTTAATGACGAAGAGCACGCGCGGAATCTTTCGGCGTGGGTGCAATTGCGCATTGCGCAATGAGCACACAGTTTTGATATGCCGTCGATGAAGTTTTAACGTGAAAGGCTATCGTGTCGTAAAAAAAAAAGCTTCACTGCGCGCCAAAACGTTTGACGAACGACTCTAGTAGGTGCTTGTAAAACTATTACGAGTATCCGAAGTAGTGGTAAACAACGCAAGGTTACTGCCACAATCTAAACCATGAGAAAAGGAGAAAAAAATAACAAACAACACAACTATCCTTCTCTCAAAGTTTCGAATATGACATTTCCTAACCGACTTGCCTGCATTCTTTCGCTCCTTGCAAAGGTTACCGTGTAGCGGACGGCACAAAAAAATGCACCGGCGGCGCTGTATCGGTGGGCATGCTCAAGGAGCCGCCGCCGACCGATCGGTGTCTGGCCTGGCTCGTGGCGCAATACTCTCGCATTAAGTTGGCAAAGAACCCCGAATGTGCGCTAGAACGGCGTGATGAAACGAAAGTCCAGGGGCGTCTACAGGAGGAACGGGCAAAGCAGCTGCAGATGCTTGAACGACCGTAAAGAACGGTAGAAAAGTGCCATCGCTCGCCGCTATGAATGCGTCCCACCAACTCAGTAATGCCGGGCCGCATCCCTGCCCTGCAACTCGTACTTTCTCTTATTGAAGGCTACTTTGTCGTTGGGCATGCCGACGAAACGATGGCCGGGATACGTAGCACTTGCTACAGCCGAGTGCAGCGCCATTTACCATGACTATCGCTCTGAATAGCCATCGACTCAACCTCCAGCACGGCGGTTACCGGTGTTCGACGTCGTCATGTGATGTAGGTGCAAGGCCTGTATAATCTCATGTCTAAATACTGCAACACAGCACCATAACAGTTTATTGCTCTCAAATCCCTTCGAAACCGCAGTGACCTTATAATCAACCAGCCGACACGGTCAATACCGCAGATTTCCTGCACCAGAATCTTTACACGGATGGGGCTCTGCCATAGCTATCTGTCATTTATTTTTGTGAGCACCTTCTTTCTTGCCCCCACCAAAAAAAAAAAACAACAACAACAACAACAAAACAACGTCAACAACAACAACAAGAACAACAACAAGAGAAACCGAACTTTCATTTAAAATAAAATTTTGCTTCGCTAGTGGAACTTGCATAATCATTCGACAGCCCGCATCGTTTTACACTCTTTCCAGAAATTTATAAAGCAGGGTCTCAAGGCTGTTTTATCGTGTCTGTCGTATCCTCTCCAATTTAGGTAGCTTTTGTCTTTGTCAATTTAGTACCTTAAGCTCATCGTAAAATGCCTACACAGCTACATCAATGACACAAGAGACGCTATCCTCTCCACAAAGGACATCACATATCCTTAAAGGGCTATCACTGAGGTCAAAGGGTTACCAGCTCTTTCACAATTCCTCGAGCAGCATCCAAGTCACAGACCCCGTGCATCTCACTTTTCGAAATCTGGTGTGCCAGAAGCACTAGCCCACACTGTTATCAAGTCCCGTGTATTTGGCGAATATTTGGGGTGAAAAACACGCTATTTACACAAATTACCATAAATTTACACGATGAGTAACGGATAATTCGTTCAGAAATCATGCGAGGTTGTAAAAAACGTGTTTTGGTTCGGTCATACACGCATAACCGTGTAGCCGACCTCGATAACACGCATCGCCCCCGGCGACGACCGCGGCATTGCCGGCTATCGAAGCACCGGAATGCTTGGGGACACACTTAGAAAGGACCGTCGAGACAAATGCCGTGGAAAGAAACATGTCTCGGAGACAGATATGCATCAAAAGCAATTGCGCCATGTCGCAGGACGTTGGCGAAACCCGCCCTTACCGAGCTCGCCGCCATCTTCTGGTCGATGGCAATGCGGCTTCCCTCATGTCGCCCATGTTTGAATTTAGTTTAGGGGTCCTGATAACAGTTTCTTAGACACCACAAATAAAGTCATGAGTCTAATTATTTGTTCCAAACAGTTAAATTGGATATAAAAAGCGTGTCCTCGATGTGAACACGTGACATTGCAGTTGGTTTCGTTTTTGCTTCAACCTTCAACTGCAAGCGATTTGGCCACGACGCAAGCGCAACGCCGATGTACGCTGGAAGCAAGCGCCAGTTGGCTTTCGTTGTTTTTGTTTGACCGGAGAAAATCTGGCAAGTACGCATGGCGCCGCTACTGTTTTGGTTTGACAGGACGCGAGAAGCTTCGCATAGAGCTTCGGAGTTTTCGAGCACATAGTGAAGACGTGACCGGAGAAGTGCCCCTGTGGTGTTCCTGGAAGACGCAAAGTAGCATTCGTAATCGTCGTGTGTGCTTTGAAAGCGAAGGGAGTCACAGGGTCCACGAGTTCGCAACCACAAGCCAAGGTTCACGACAGCGCGGCGTTGACTTCAGCGATCTCGTTCTGTTTGGTGCAACCCGGCGATGCGAAAAAGAGCTGAAACATTCGTCGTGTGTGGTGCGGTGCTTTGTATTCCGGGTCTGTTTGAACCACGCTTTTAACACGGAGCGCAAATTGTTTGTTGCGTGGTGGAGGTTCAACGGGTACAGTCCCGTCGTCGTCAGCTGATCCGGTCCAGCTGGTCCGGGAGGACGCAGCGAGCGTTTTTAAAAGTAAATCTTCCTTCGTTCCGTTTCAAACTGTGGAAGTATCCCGACACATACCGTGAGTAAGAAGCAGCGGGCGTTTTCGACAAAATTACGTTGTTTTAATTGAATAATGTACTCCGGATTGTTGTCTTAAATCTGCCGTTTTTTATGCTTCGTGTTGGACTGCGTTTGCATGGCGACGCACACCGCTCGAGTAGATGATTCGGTCCTGCAACGAGTTTGTTGCGCCAATCATGCGGCGTGAATAAATTAGGGCAAGGTTTCCTACCTGCCCACAGATGCATGTACTGAGACCATTTTTTTTGTTGTGAACGTAGTGCTCTTTCTTTATTTTGGAAGACGCGTTGGTGCATTTTTTATGGTACAATCACTTAAGAGTTGAGAAATTGGAGAGCGAGCCAGCTTTCTCAACTTTGTGTCCTTCTCTCTGGCACTGCCCTGTTTCAGTTTCAGTAGGCATATCTGCTAGCAGGTACAAACTGCTCTAAAGCAGGTAAAAAACGGGAAGCTTAGGACGGTGCGGACTCCGTGTTTCGCGCTTTTCGCAAGGTGACAGGGTAAATGCTTTTGTGAGATATGCGGAATATGCAAGCGATTTTGTTATGCCCGTCGTTTGCGTCTCTCCAGCAAAACGAATAAGATGATCTACTACAAAGGCGCAATCACAAGCCAAGATTTAAGATAGCAGTCGTTTGCTTCGGTGATCCGTGTAGCTGTATTTTACCCTGCTCTCTGCAATACCGTGTCATGACGAAGAGCTGGAACGGTCACGGTTTGTGCCGGCCTCCCGGTTGACAGAAACCCGCGTCGCCCGCATCGGCACCGAGTGCGCTTGGGCTGTTGATGCTCAAGCCTTTCATCCGCGGCTTGTCGCCAGCTCATCCTGCTGCTCAACGGTGAGGAAGCAACGAGAGTAACCTCGGAAGTGAATGTAAATCCTCGTTCATTCAGTTATCCGGTGTCAAAGTGTGGAAGATGTTCAACGTGTACTGAGGGCGGGAACTACGAGCGTTTTGCCTTGCTTTTGCAACCGAAACCAGACCAACGAGATAACTGCCTTGCGTACTCTAAAATGACGGAAGCAATAAGTTTCAACAGGTCGAGTACGTCACCGGGGATGTAGGCGAGACGGTGCACACTGTTTAAACGCTTGCAGTATCCACGAGTGGTACCAGGAAAGCGACGTCAACAGAGAAGGAGCTCGCGATTCAGCATAATGCACTGCTACGGGCCCGTGTATCTTCAAAGTTCGGGGTGGTGGCAGTATAAAAAAAAAGACGCATCAGCGCCCCACACCAGTGTTCACGAATGACACCGGTCACAAACTCCCAAGCCCCACCGCTCTTCTCGACACCGACACGACATACGACAACAAACTGCATCAAAACGCCCCAAAAGTGAAGGCGTCTGCTCCCGTACTGCAACTGCTGCAACTAGCGGAAGTGTTGGGCGGATGTCCGGATGCCCTTCACAAAAATATATAAAAAATGCTTTGCGCAAGGATCATTTTCA